CATTTTTCTTAATGAATTGTTCAAAATTTAATTTTAATAAGGTCTAAAACAAATGGCCTTAAGATTAAATTAAGATTAATTAATTTTGAACTCCAAACATTTTACATCATATATCTTTCATTTGTTTTCATTTGAATTTATGGTATAATATGAGTGAATTTTTTAATATTCAAATTGTGACAAATAAATAAAAAAAATAAAGGAATGGATATTGATAATTCAATTTTTTAATTGTATATAAGTATACACACAATAGGAGTATATACATATATATAATAATTTTTTTAGAATATTACCATATCTAATATATCAATAACATTAAATGCTATATTTTATATTAAAAAAATATTATTTAACCAACAAAAGTTGATTCGAGTGAAAAACGACTTAGTACTGCTTTGATAAAGTTTTGGAATTAAAGTTTTTTTGTATGTAAAAAAATCTTCGATAGTAGATTCATCCATCACATTCAAGTATGCAACTCAAGTTGAATTCAGATTAAAACAAATAAAAAATAAAAAAAATTATTAAATTTTTGTTTTGTGCCCTTGAACACATTAAAAAAACTATTGATAATTAATCTTGAACTAATATTGATAATTTACTCTTGATGACAATTTTATTATTTTTCATTGTAATAATTTAGTAATAAAAAATGTCTCTGGAATTTTAAAAAGTTGACCACAAGAAGAAAAAAAATGATGTTAGTCCAACAAAAAAGACCAATGTTGAACAAGTAGGGAAATGGGCCCATTAAGAAAAAAAGGGATAACTAACTAACAACCAAATCGGTGTAGCCCAGTCACATTTCTTACCCATTCTACCGTTGGATGGTTCTTCGTAAATCCACAACACTAATGTGCCTCATCTTGTAAATCCATATCATAACAAAACAACAGTGGTGGTTCCCGCTCGCCATTGGTTTGAAATACCAAACGAATTTGCAGAAGCAAACACAATAACCGATGCCAAATCCGATCCATTTCACACCGAATTCACCAACATAAGTAATCTCATTCTCATGGATTCCATTTCACTCTTAGAAATTGCTGCCGAAGACGATTCTCTACTCTTCGATGTTCCCGCATCCACCACTAACCTTTTCTCTTCCTCACCTCTCCTATCCCTCAGATCTAACACTCCTCAAACCAGTTACGTATTTCCTTTTTCATTTTATACTCTTTTATTTTTTTTAATCTCTCCATTGTTTCTTACGAATAATTATTATTTTGTTCCTGCAGAGGGAGTTGAAAGTTGCGATGCGGATTCTGAAAATCCGAATTCATCGCATAATAAAGAGAACACGAATTGGATTAAGGCGGAATCACAAAAGCTTAGCGTGGAGCGTCCCCAGATGAAGAGGAAGAAGAGAGGAGGTGGCTTCAACTTGCGCAAGAGCTTAGCATGGGATCGAGCTTTCTTTACCGAACAAGGCATTTTCTTCTCTCCATTATCTATGAATAAACTGTAATAATGATGATGATGATGATGATGCAAATTGTTTTGAATTAGTTTTTTAAGTGACAAATATTGAACCCTAATTTTTAGGTGTTTTGAACCCGATGGAACTTTCTATGGTTAGTGGCGCAGCCACTCCTAACGCAGAGTTGAATTTGGAAGTTATTCATGAAGAAGAGAATGTTGGCACTTCGTTAGCGTTGCAGGAAATTGAAGAAAATTTGTTTAAGCGTTCATCGGATGGTGTTTTTGTTGAAGATAGAGAGATTGCTGCTACGGTTGGCTTATCACCGAAGCCTGGTGCTTTGGCCAAAGCTTCTTCAGCCACAGCTTCAGTGGTTAGTCTATATTTACACTAACGGTGATAATGAATCGAAATTAAACTCGTTATGATTTGTGATATGTTACTTTCTACACTTGTTTGTTAGGCAAAGAGGAAAGTGCTTGCTGTCAATGATGTGGTTGGGAACAGATCCAAACGCAGTGCTTGTCCACAGCCACCACCGGTAGCGCCGTCCTCATATCCTTGTCATTGCTTGTTTAGAATAAATGTTTGGTAGAGTGTTTTATATTGTGCCTGTGTAATGGAATTGAGTTGACTTGAATTTTTTTTATTTGTTGAATTATGGAAGTGTTTACCTTGACTTCTTTGAAAAGTAAAAAGACATGACACCATAAAAGGGCCGACTAAAGAATTGAAAGCAACCAGGATACCGGGTCCAAAATCTAATGTTTGTGTGAGTGCAACAACTGCTAGGAGTGGAACGTTAACCACAGGTTTCTCGAAGAGAAATCAGAATGCTCCTTCTGGTATGTTTTGCAATTTGTGTTTGTTTCTTTTTTATTTTTATCCAAGGAACAAATTTCTAAATAAGTACTTAACAAAGACCAAAATAAGAAGGAAAATTAATCAAATTTCTTTTATAAATCAATTTATACTCTTTTATTCTTTAAAAGTTCTCTAATTTAGCTCTCTAAAAACTTAAGGTGCATAAGTTAATTTTAACTTATATGAGCAGATTTATTCATATTACCTCTTTATTTTCTTCTCCTATAGGTACTTGTCTAGAAGTTCATCCAAATTAGGCCTTAATATTTATGTATCTTATTGTATTATTGCATAATATAATGTGAAACTGGATCATCTAACAGATTTAACTTTGTAATCTTCTTTAAATTCACAAATACAGTTTTCTGGAGTTACCAAAAATCATTTTCTAGCGTCAACATGAGATGAATTTTTTGGCTATATTTTGTTAATTTTTCTTCTACAGCCACTAATGTTCAGAAGTATGCTGGAGCTGGAGTAAAAGGCCTTTCAAAAAATCCTAGAACTGTGCCAAGCAACCCAAAAGTTGATCAGGCTGATAAATGTTCCGTTGCTAGAACTCTTACCAAGCGGGCTGGAAAACATTTGGTGGGAACTTTAAATACCTAGATGCTGTAGTTTATGCCTAATATTCATCATTCGCTCGATCAAGTTTTTAATTCCTTCTATTTAAGTACTAGGCATATGATTCTTCTCCTGAAATGTTTTGGACGTGCACAGAATAACTCAGCTTCAGAAACAAAGCCACCATCCAGAATGCATAAATCAGGAACTCAATCAAATAAGGTGTCAGAAGCTTGCCTCCCACTAGGTGTTTCTGACACTGGTGAGGAAAGGCAACAAACACAGTTTCAAACAACTAAATTATCAGGCCTAAGGATGCCATCTCCCTCATTGGGATTCTTTTCTCAGGTATGATTGCTTTATTTTGTTCCCTATTTCATATTTAGGTTGATCTCGTGTTCATGCCTAATACTGCTTTTACAGACGAAAGCTCCCGGTTCACATAGCCAATTACAAAGGAGTTCTAAACCTTGCAAACTTGCTCAGAGTAACATTCTTAAATTAAGGAATTTGGAAACAAATTCTTTTAATGAGGCAAGACTATCACATGCGCCTAGGATAAGGCCTGAAATTGCCGAAGGAGTGGCAAAGAATTGTACTGAGAACTTAAGCCTTTTGGATGTAAAGTCAGAAACAAGCAGGCAAGTGGATGATAAGCGTCTGGCTGGTGTAGAAGTGGAATATGATTCTACGGTTTCTGAAAAAATAAGCGAGCAAGAAAAGGTTGAAAACATTTTTGAGCATGTCAACATCAAATCTAAGGAACTAGGAGAACTACATAAAATTGAGAATGCAGTATTCCCTAGACATGAAAAAAAGCTGCTTTTAAATAGTGATACCCAAGAGCTTTTGGAGAAAGAGGCTGATCAACCTCTTGACGTTTTGTCAAATGGGGATCAGTCTGTATCTCAGGAACAACAGTCTATTCCTTGTCATGGCATGCATAATGCCATGGGACAACAGGAAGATGGGCAAATCAAGCAGCGTGCTTGTGATGTTCTGACTTCAAATGAAAGTTTGGTGTTACAGGCAAAGCATGAGCCCTCTTTTAAGGATAGTAAACTTTCTGGAGACTTCAAGGAATACAATTGTGTCAAGACTGTACTTTTAAGTTCCAGTCTCACTGATTTTAGTGAAACTGTTTTGGGAGGATCTATACAAGGAATCCCCTGTGAGAGTCCTGAACAGATAAATGACGGAACTGTTGATTTTGTTAAATTTGCAGATGTACAAGTGCATTCATTGAACAGAAATCTCTCAGTCGATTGCAATGAAACCACCCAAAGTAATTTAGAGGCAATTAATCAGCAGCAGTTAACAGTAAAACAACTGAAGACTACAAGTCCTAGTATTGCAGGAAATATTAGTTCAAAAAAAGAAAATGAATCTCTTGTAAATAGGTGTGAACTAGTTCAAGTGACAACCTTATCTTCCAACGGTTCTCCTCGGAAGTCTATACAAGAAATCAACTGCGCTTCTGAAAGTGAACCAAAAATAGCTGAAATTGAAGATTGCCAGTTTCCAGTTGATGGTCAATCAGGTTCCATTCCGAGAAAACCAGTTGATGAAAGAGATGAGCAGGTTTTTGACGCAAAAGCAATGCATGATAGTACTCAAGTGTTTGAATTGGGTAGGTTGAGTGAAAATTGCATAACTACTTCTGCAACTGCCTGCTGCACTAAGTTGAGCAATGTTGACGAGGAAAGCATGCCTTTTCATGAGAATAATGTACAAAATCTCCATTTTACATCTCAGCTATGTCCAACAGTGAAAGCTGATTTCAATTCCAGGGAAAATGATTTGTCAACTAATAACTGCTGTACCATTTCTGGGTTGCAGCCTAGAGACAACAGTTCTTCTAGGAATACTTCAATGCCCTATGATGTTCAGCATGATGTCCCTGGAAACTCTGGGCGACAAGATAGCATGTTTACAGATTCTAAAGCTAATGAAATGCTTTGTGAGGATGAGGGCTTTGAGCTAAATAATGGTCACTTGCTTGATCAGGGTGAATTTTCTGCAGATTTCATTTCAAACACCAAAGATTCTATCTGCAGTGAAGCTGAAAAACAACATACAATACTGGCTCAATCAGTCCAAGAAATTGTTCACGCTAACAGAGATATTGAGGAATCACATGTGGAGGACGAACAAGTGCAATCCTTTGATGAAAATGCAGTGGCATATAACTGCAACAGTAAACACTGTCTTCTTGTGACTACAGATGATCAGTTTTCATTGGCAGACAATAATATAATCAAAGATTCTCATCTTTCTGATTTTCAAAGACCTGATGCAGTTGTTGATACAGATTCCCAGAACGTGGATAACAATCTGCACTTTTATGGCGACCGCCTGCCCACAAATATAGCTTCTTCTAAAGAAATCAAGAAAACAAATTTGTTCGAGGGTGCATTAGAAGGATGCCATATCTACACAAGTGAGCACAATGCATCCAATCATCATATTCAGGCTATGCCTGAAGGCAAAGGTGAAAATCTTGATGTGAATGCAAGGACAGAATTTTTGCAAATGGATGATGCAAAAAAAATTTCTTCTGACATATTGTCATTAGTTGAAGTTCAACTCAGTGATAACGTTATATCTTCTGAATGTGATTCTTCTGTAGAAGTAAGCAAAGATTCCTTTACAGACGCAGTTGCTTGGAAATCTGAGGAACATTGTTCTTTAAGTGAAAGTTCAAATTTGCCAGCTTCAGATAATGTAACCTTCAATGCTAGAATCCCAGAAATCTGTGAAATCAGTTCATTGAACACAAAAAAATTTTCAGATGAAGCTGAAACTAATATATTTGAAAAAGATGAATTTCCTAATACCGACGTGCAGCAGCAGACACAAGGTGGCATTTGTTTTGGAGAAGACAGCAGCAAAATAATTCATTTGTGAGTATCTTAGTTCGTGGAACTATTTGCTCAATTACGCTTTGGCAACCCTTCCATGTCTACATCAAAACTAAGATACGCTTTTGAAACTTGACTATTTGAGTGATGTAATCTATTTTTTGAATGGCAGCAGCGATTCTGTGACGAAAAGCAAGCAGGAAGCTCCTCCAGTGAAGCCTCCTCCAAATGCTGCTCCATTTTCTGATGAATGGTTATCTGCAATTGAAGCCGCTGGAGAGGTGACTCAGATTTCTTGACTGCACCTGCATATATTTAATGACTGATCAATAGACTTTTGCATGACGTAGTGTTTCATGCAACTTCAGTTCTGTTTTTCTGTTTTCAATTCTTACGCCGCTTTTGGGCTTTTAACTTTGATCTTTTGGTTCGTTTTTGTTGAATGCTAACTTAATCAAATAATTTGCATTGTAAGTGGCAGTTGAATCAAATTTTTATTTTAGGATTAGCCTCACGACATTATTTAGGCCATTAGTTATTTGAAATACAATACGGTAGATTCTCTGTTTAATTCATTGCACCTCGTGTTTACAGGAGATTCTAACGATGAAAAGCGGGGCTGTACAAAACTCTCCCCCTGACAAGCCTCAGCATGAACCAGGTCCTTGGTCCCCGGTAGGTTCATCCTTCAGTATTTAAAATTGATTAAAATTCCAAGCGTAGGGCTCTGGTGTGAATAATTGAAGTTTCTTTTTATCTGGGTACGAAAGTCTATGATGACACCATACTTTTGGATTCTCTCAACTGAATGGTTTTTAATTCGGTATCTCTCTTTTCACTGTTTTTAAATAGGGTAAACACTATCAACATATATATTTTTTTATGGAAAGATAAACATAATTTTGACCTAATAAGGTCACATGAAAAATCTGACGTGTGAGATGTATTTCCTACATGTAACACAAGCAAAAAAGAACTTAAAAAGATAAAAAGAAAAAACATCACATATCCAATTCCCCTGCTACAGTGTTGATGATTCCAATGGTGGATCATGTCCTGTAGTTTCAGACAATCTGAAAAATAAACAGGGTAAAGACTTCGATTCTTGTTGATGCTCCCTAGACCAGAATGGGAATATTCTCTATGTTCTTTGGATTCTTCTCTTCGATGAGGACAGGGGACAGACTCTGCCTGCTCCATTAAAATGGGATATTTGCAATCTCTTTTTATTCGCGTATTAATTCTACGAACTTAACACTTCTTAACATCAAAATATGTAATTTGCATGAGAATTATACATTTTTATGTTGGTACTCGTCATTATGTTACCCATTAGAATTAGGATGACAAGAAAATTTGTGGAATCTTTATAAACACCTTTTCATTAATCATTAGCTCTACACCAATGTTTACTCATTAGTTACATATCTTTGATGTCATGATAACCAACTTTTCAGTTTTATTTCTTTATTGCTAACTAACATCTATCAGAAAGTTGCATTATTATTGCTACTTCCCTATGTTGTTCATTAATCATCGCTTCTCATCTTGATGATATATTTTGTATTTCTTTAATTTCTTTGCTTCATTTTGGTTTGCAGGTGAGGCGAAAGAATCAAGCAATTGGACCATTTGATTGTACCAAACACAATATCCCTCATTCCAGTTCATAATGATAATGCTGGGATTTGATCCTCACATCATTAATCACTAACCCGTTTTTCTTTGCCTGAACCAGCATTAAAAAGTCAGAACACGTTGTACGGACCATAGTGCTACGCAGATAGAATTGCTAGTTGCCACAATTATGCCTCAATCTGAAGATGCTTAAAAAAATTAATAAACTGATTGTTCTCAAATTGTAAATGATATTTGTGCACTAGTTTTTGCTTTTATGTAATTTTTGTTTTTGAAGTCTTCCTCCAATTGTAAGGTGTGAGGATCTACACGTTAGTGTCTTCCCATTAATTCAATATTCTCTCATCACGTTAGCATACAACATTGTTTAATGCATTTTACTTCATGTTTTGCCTTGTTTTAATTAGATTTTATGGTAAAAGATTTAGTGATCAAGTTACTAGTTAAATACTCAGATAATTATTAAATAGCTATTGTTGCATTCAAAACATTTTAAATAATAAAGATTATATTTATAGAAGTCTCCACTTGTTGCAGAAAAGTACTGCATAATTCTTACAAGTTGCAGATGGCCTGTTCCATTCCCTCTTTTGTTGGTTTTTACCGCACTTCCTTTGTTAGGACTTGAACAATTTCATTTAAATAATTTTGTAAAATTTACATTGTCATTTAAAATGTTCAATAAATTTACCATTTCATGTATTGCTTAAATTAGTAAATGTAACAACATAGTATAACATACTAGAGTAAAATTCTTTAGCACTGGAACGCATTAAAGTTGAACTATTTTGTTTCCTATTAACTTTAACAATCCGATACGACAAAAAATTCATCTTGACCGTGAGAGAAAAGAAGAGTTCTAAAAAAATGGTAAGTAATACTCGCGAGCCTTTAAACCTTACCCTCTGCACACGTTAGCCATCACAAGTAGTAGCATAAATTTTGTTAACTAACTACTTTTGGAAAACCATAATTGACCTCAATTCTTCACAAATCAGGCGTGAGTAACATTAAGGAAAATTAGGAACGAAGATAGACAACGCTTCTAGTTTGACCAGAAAGCACTACAGAAACATCGCAATATCAATCTATAACTCATGCTTATAACACGCATCAAACTTGAAAAGTAACACGTCAAACGAAGGTCCATGCGTTCAGTTTTCTGAACCACACACTTAAGTACTCTAAAAATTTTCTCGCTGAATTCAAATCCACTATACAGATAATATAACAGAAAAAAGAATAAATCAAGGTAGCAAGTTATAATACAAATAACTTGAGCAAGATGCATGTTGAGTTAACAAAGAAAGCACGCCCAAAGAAAATAATAATAATAACCCATCAGGGTTAAAAAAAATATATGGGGATTAACATTACATGGCACTTTACAACAGAGGGGCATTCATCAAACTGGAATTGCACCTAACTAGTCGTACAGATTGAATATATTACCTAGGGAGTTTGATTGATAACAAGATTGAATTATCATTCGACTTTATCCTTTCCTGCTTGTACAGCAGGAAACCTTTTAAATGAAAAAATTGAAAATGAATTCTTATTTTTGCTTCTAAGCTTAAATTCCTTGAGTCTTTCTGCTTTAAGCATACTCAGGATTGAGTGCCAATGCTTCCCTGTAGATCATCTCTTTTATTTGCTCTTCGTCCAAATGCTGTTGCTCAAAATCAAATGAGAATGGCTCCATGCAGACTGGTTCATCGGCAACATCGTGCAGTTTTTCAAGGTATGGGTGGGCTAGTGCTTCTTCAACTGCCAATATTCAAACAAATAGAAATGAGATTTTGCTCAATTTTGTTTAATATTTAGCTTTGGTGTTGCTGTTTTTCAGTGAGTCTACTCCAGCTTTATGCAGTTATCATCAATGTTCAAAATAAAACTGTGTGCTGCTTCATACAGCTACAGAAACATAAATGAATAAAAGGATTGGGAAAATTACCTGTAATTCTTTTGGTGGGATCAATAGTCAACATTTTATCAACGAGATCAATGGCTGCAGGATGAACGTGGGGGAAGACCTGAGCTAAATTTTGGCGAGGATGCTGAGGAAGTTGTCTGATATATCTTCTTACATCTTCATTTTTCACTAACCCAAGGTCAGCCTCAGTTGGAGTGCCAAGAAGCTATGGATAAGACAAGGGTAAGCATAAAACCAGAATTAGTTTTTATAATTAAATTAATGATTATATTCATGATATTAAACAACTTGAAATATTTGTAATCATATAAATATTTCAAGATATTTAATATCAATCTGTTTTAATGCAATTTTCCATAACAATCTGTTTTTTTTTTATTATTATTATTTCTTCTCACCTCTGTCAATAGGCGCATCTGATGCACATGATCTTTGCCTGGAAACAGAGGCTTTTTGTTCATAAGCTCCATAAAAATGCAACCAACAGACCACACGTCTATAGCAGAGGTATAATCCGAGGAGTTCAACAACAATTCCGGAGCCCTGTACCATCTTGTGACTACATATTCTGTCATGAAGTCACTTTCTAAAGTTGGCCGGGCAAGACCAAAATCAATAATCTTCAAGTCGCAATTTGAATTCAGCAACAGGTTGCTTGGTTTTAAATCTCTGTGGATTATGTTTGCAGAATGTATATACTTCAGTCCACGAAGAATCTGATACAAGAAGTACTGCAAGTACAATAGCATCCGATCATCAGCAAAAAAGGAAAAAGTTGAGGTGTGAAAACATTGAAGATTGTAAGGAGTACGATATATTATAATACTACAAATTAAAAAACAACTTGAGAGTACTCACTTGGCAGTGTTCCTCTGACAGATTTTGATTGGAGCGAATAATGTGGTGCAGATCAGTATCCATGAGTTCCATGGCTATGTAGACATCATTGAACTCTCTACGCAAGGGTGGGGGAATAACATCTCTCAAACCAATTACCTGTTTCACAAATACACTTTAATCACGACGAAAAAGACAACGGTGTGAATTTTTGTTTTATCAATTGGGATTTTGATACCTTTAACTACAGTGTAAACACCTTTAACTACAGTGTAAGCTTAACACGGTTTGAATAACTACAAATTGACACTGTACTGAACATAAACGTTACAGTGTAAGCTTAAAAAAATCGTTACAATTTCTCTCTTTTAATTTTTTTGACTTTTTTACATATACATATCCCAAAATTGTACCCAAAAAAGTAAAAGGAACAACTAAATTTGTTCCCCAAAATAATACAAACTTTGTGGGCAAGTAAAGCGTAAAGATTGGCAAAAAAAATTATAACTAAATTCAGTACCATGTCATCATATGTTCCACAAATTAGGAAGTCATGGTCAACCTTGGGAGATGACTTGGTTCTATAAAATCCCAACAAACGTGTCACCACTCACCACATGTATTTTACGGTCATTTTATGGTCCCACAACCTTCCCCCAAAAAAAGTGATATGAAATCTCAACAATTTTGGATTAAACTTTTTGCCAATATTAATTAGATGTAAAATTCTGTCACACTACGTGGCATTATCAAAACAGTTTGTGAAAACCATAGCACCAAGCATGAAATAAATTCGCATATACGATACGATATTATCTAAACCAAACATGGCAAGGGAAACACACTCACATTTTCATGATCCAAATGCCTCAGAAGCTTAATCTCACGGAGCGTGCGCTTAGCGTCCGTGTGATTGTCGAAAGCGTTCGATATCTTCTTGACAGCCACCAACTCATTCGTCTCTGTATTCAACAGCGAGCTTCAAAAATCACACATCAACAATGAACTAACTGATCAGTTTTCTTAATTTTCAACCACCGTCACAACTTAACACTCACGAATTCACTAATAATTTAACCACAATCAAATCCAATCCATCAAGAACAAAACCGAATCATAAACGCTCAAATTCTCAATCAAAACTCACACATAAACACGATCACTTTTTCAAAAAACAAAAAAAATCGAAGCAGTACCAAACCATTCCGTAGGCGCCGCGACCAATAGGCATGATCGGAGGACGATACTTCACCGTAACCTCAAAGAGGTTACCGAATATGTTGTACTGAATGAACTGTCCACCGTGCGTCGGAACCGCCGGAAAATCGGCGACGCCGTTCGGATTAACACCGGCCATTACTGTTTCTCTCTCTAGAAACCGTCGAAGAAGAGTTTCTCTCTCCTCAGCGTTGAACCACTGTGCGGAACTTTCTCTCTCTACAAAGCGTCAAAGAAGAAGAAGAAGAGACGATTGTGTGTGAAAGAAGCAAGTGAAGAAGTTTTTGATATAAATAGCGAACGAGTCACTGAGTCAACGAGTCACTGAGTTTGTGCGTTCGTTCCTTTCACTCGGTCCACTCGGCTGGGTAAGCACGTTGAGTCTTAACACTCTTTCGGAGCAGGTGCTGGGAAGAAGGTGCGAAAACGCGCGAGGAGAAGAAAAATAACAGAACGAACCACGCGCGCACACGTGCGACGCGTTTGTGGCTGAATCGGACGGTTCAAATTGTAGCCGCCTCTAATCTACTGCTATCGTTCATTTAATTTTTTCCACGGCCATCAACCCCTCTTTCTTTCTTCTATTATTATTACGTGATTTTGAAAGGGCTTTGATTGAACCAAAGCAAGCCACCTCGTGTATTTTTAAATTTACGTGACATATAAATAAATACAATATCCTATGCCTTAGGAATATTCAATAATTAAGTCAGAAGTGTTTAAGTATTATGTGCTAACTTTGACTGCTACCTACGTCTATATATAAATTATTAGATTGATTAATTGTGCAAATAATTGATTACTTTATCTATACCATCATCCCTACAGCAAAATAGTTTTTATGATATTACCACAAAATCTGATTGTATAAAAGTTTAATATCTATTTCTTTTTTTTTATAATTGATCCTCTAGAGATATTTATTAATATATTTCTTTTTATTCTTATCCCATTTTAAAATTAGGTGCAAAACCAATCATTGCTCAAAATAATAAAGATGCTGCTCAACTCCTATATTCTTCAATCATAACTTCAAGCTTGCCCTTGACTACCGATTTATAAAGCTGAATTCCAATAATAACTGAAATTGAACTTAGTTTAAAATTCTTGTAAAATAAATTGTCTATTAAATTTTATACAACTTAAATGTTAATTGATACATTTCCCTTTTATTATATGTCAATAGATGACATATTATTTATAAATATTCAAAACATAAAAAAGTTGAAGTATAATTACTAATTTTTTATTTATTATCATAAATAATATATAATTTTATTAATTTAAAACATATATATATATATATTCCTTTTTCTCTCTTCCAAAGAAGCCCTTCAGTTTTACACCACTCTTTGAATAACGTTTCCACATGTTCACTAACATTCTTCCTTGCTGATTGCATTCTTGAGAAATTAGACATGAAAGAGGTACGTGTCTAGATCATTCACATGTCAAAGCCCACTTAGGCTCTTGAATTTGAAATCAATACAACGAAAGTAAGAGTCAAATTGTGTCACGTAATGACCGAGTAATGAAATCAATACATATCGCTGGCCATATATTATTGTATTTGATGTTAATCGTTTTAATAAAGGAAAAAATTTATGTGCATTTGTGAAAGTAATATTAATATTGTTTATTAATTAAATTAAAATTTTATTTGGACAATACAGTACAAAACCAAAATAACAGTTGTCTTTGGAAAGCATGTGAGGTGTATATGAGGGAAGGGGAAAGTCAACTTGGAAGTCCAATTGGTGCAAGCAAAAGGCCCAGTCAACAAATAACACCACCACCAAGTTGATACACAACGTAAAGCGGGCGCTATAGAAGATACAACAATGTCTAATATTAATACCCATCCATCCACGACTTGAAACTATTTACTACCTCGAGCAATGACTGATTTTATTCTTAAACCTTTTCAAACTTGATCAACGAAGAATCTCGCAGAAATCCTCGTCTACATTTTTTCCCTTGCAATAATATTTAAATTAACCTAATCTCAAGTTATAAAATTAATTAAAAAGTACAACCTTCGGGGACTTTTGATGTTTTTATTTATATATTGAAAAAAAAAAACTTAACTGTGCACGCAGCATCTCTCGTTACAAATATTGACGATGCTCCAAAGAGAACACAAGAAAATGAGAGAATGACCCGAAAGAAAACAGCAAACTTTCATGAAGGCTAAATTACATTTTCTTTATCTTTTCATTGTAATTTTAATTTCGCTATTTTTTTGAATAAGCAAATTTTTTCCTACCATGAATTTTACACTATATAAATTTTAATTTTTATTGAATCTTGCTAATAATGTTAAGAAAATAATAAAAGTTTTATTAAAAAATATGTTGGTGCAATTATATTTTTTGTTAAGGTACATTAATGACACTTTATTTTTATTATTTTCAATTCGTTAACCGTGTCACTAATATTTACATATTATCTTTTATCCAAATATTCAAATTTATGAAATTAAAATAAATTTTAGAATTAGTTAAAGGTTTTTTTGTGCATAATCACATTTTAAATTTAACTAATTTCTATAAAAAAATAAATTGATGAAAATAACCCTTTTTATTATCAATAATATTATTAATTTTATAATATGAAACAAAAAAATAAAAAAATTGATTGAATTAAAATAAATCATTTAATCAATTCAAACGATGATATTAATTATGAAGAATATATTTTTATGAAGAATGCAGAGATAGATATTAATTAGAAAACCAAAAATAATGTCAAAATATATTGTAAACCATAAAAAAATAAAATTATACTCTTCTGTAATATTTAGCTATAGTTAATATTTGCTTTAAAAAAGTACAATAAGTGAAAAAAATAATGATATATTATATGATGTAGGAAGAGAACGGTTGAGCCTTAATTAAATAATTCAGGCAAGGGAATAAATCGCCTCATCAGATTACATGCCTTACACAATTATGTTGAAAAATGAGAAAAATTTCACCATCTTTCATTACTAATAAAAGCATAATTTTCACTTTTTAACACATAAAAGCTTTCATTTTAACTCGACCCAAAATTTGTATTTTTGTGTTTTAACACTAAAAACTCAATATGTTATAATTAATTTCATAATAATTTCTATTTCTATGAAAATTAAATTGAAAATATATTCGTAATTGATCATATCGTTTTAATAATAGTTATTACTAATTAAAAGTTCTTTTATACCTTACAATATGTCAAAATAATAATCATTAAAGGGTATTAAAAAATCAATAATTAGAAAAAGAGCTTGATATGATCTAAAACGGCATATAAAAAAAGTAAATGGCAATACAAACAAAATACGATAATTAACCGGGAAAACGAAGAGGGTACCAAATAAACCGAAATAGTTGATCATTAACACTGAACAATGTTATTTCACAAGAGAGGATTATCAACCACAAATAAAAGCAACGAAACCTCCTATTCAGTTCAGCAAAATGCATTTAAAAGCTATCCCAAATCTGACGAACCCACGTTGGCATCAAAAACCATGTCTAAGAAATTTATGAGAGAAAGAGTATGGGCACCGTGCCCCTCTGACACCCCTAAACGTTGCTTAGGCTTCAGCAAACCTGTGATGTAAAGTTCACAACACTAATAAGCTCCAGATTGATAAGGCGCAACTTGATCGACATTAACAAGGAAAACTTTCTAAAATCATAGTATAGGCTTTAAACAATCGCAACAAGAAATATCAAAACTTACCCAAGCTCAGAAAGCTTTAGGTGAGCCTCTGCGTAATCCGCAAAGAAACCATCTTCATCCTAAAATCATAATTAACAAATCCGGAAAAATTGAACTTATATCAACAAGTCCGTCATTTCAAGATTGCATTTGAAAGTAACGAGATTAAGAGAATGTACCCACCGCGGCATATTTGTCAACAAGAGGGCGGAATGCAGGGTCAGTCAAAAGTGCCTTGTCAGAAGGAAGTTGAAGGAGGCCTTCCTTCTCACCAGTCAACAGCTCCCTAAACATTTAATTAAGTCGATAAGAACTCAACGAGAAAAAGGGCATAGTACAATGCTATATAAGGTTAAAATAATCACTTGAAATATGAGTTGTCGAAAATGAGAGGATTCGTGGTCCAGGGACCCTCAAATCCAGAACGCTCCTTGTGTGCCGCTCCCTACATAATACATTTGGCAGAATTAAGCCGGTCAGGCTACGATTCTCACAACCAAAGCAGTGTCATTATACAATGTGGCTTAAACACACTCAATAACAAGCTTTCAAAATCGTAACAATAACATACAAGAGTGTGACCACCAGATAGAGCAACAATATCCTGGTCGCTAAGCCCCATGGCTTTGCCAAACACATCCCTCAAATGGTCTGAACCTGCAACAATCAAGAACCAAACCCTCAGCAAAACAATTATAAAAAAAAATCGTAAACGTTTTTCCCATTTACAAGTACAGATTACTAACCCTTTGTCGCATCAGGCAAGCGACCCTCAGGTGGTGGCTTAGGCTTGTCCTGGTATAAAAAAGCACAGCCATTAGCATAAAAAACAACAGAAAGAATCGTAACATCACTGTCGCAAATAAAAGTACCCCATCAAATTTATGCACAATAAAAGTACCACATCACTGTCGCAGTTAAAAATTTCACAAAACACGCATTAAAAATTGATCAAGAATGCCTGAAGCAATCTTGTTAAATAAACCCTAAACTCGAATAACTACACAATCACAAAACAGAGTAAAAAAAAGACAAATACAGTTGCCACAAAATATGATGACGATCGTAATCACCTATTTCTGTAACTCTTTCAAAGTCACACAACAGAACGCAAAACGCAATATCACAAACCACGATCACAGAAGCACAGAAAAATCAGCTTTGTTTCCAAAATATTAAAATCATCACAAAATCAACTACAGGATTTTCGGAATACCTCTCTACCAGGGTGGAAAGGGATTTCAGGTCCACCAGTGACCTCAACGGCAACGACACCAGCCAACTGCGTCACCACAACATAGCATTCAGCAAATAATCATTAAATAACAACTTCTCAGATCCAATAAAACAACATTCGAATAAGAAACCCTCACCTGATAGAAATCAGCGTGGCTCAATGTAGGGAACTGCTCCTTAAGTGGCTCCAACAGCCTGACAGCGATGTCAAGCCCACTGTTAGCAGCGTGAGCCAGTTCAGACGGGTGTTTGATGGTTCCAAAAGGACCGCCGGATTTTGTCTTCACGTCATAAGTACCGGCCGAGTGCCATCTACACACACAAAATCAACACAAAAAAGCATCAATAAAACAATCTACAAAGTCAAACTCGCGCATAACAGTGATCGAACAAAGATTAGTGCAAACATACGCTAAACGGAGCATTAAAGGAGCACATCTCTTCTCTGCGACGAAACCTCTAAGCTTCTTCTTGGCCTTGTCAACGGCCTTCTGGTACTCGGCGCTTACGGTAGGGTAAGACTTTCCCATAGCTTAACGATCCTATAGCAAAACCGAAAATCGGTCACATAAAAGATAAATGTGTATGTGAAAGAACAGAAAAAAAAAAAAAAAAGGTCAAAGTCAAAATGCAGATCTACGAACTGAACCTAAAACGTTGATCGGCGATTTAAGAGATTCAGAGTGAGATTTAAGCGATGAAATGAACGAACCTTGAAATCTTAATGAAGAAATGGAGGTATTGGATTAAACCCTAGTGGCACGAGCAGAGCACAAGCCAGGAGTGAGGGAAGTGGTGGAAGGCAAGATACATATAAGGAGGAGAAGCGGAGAAAGTTCTAGTAGATGGATATGAGCCGTTGGATGGTTTAGATCAAGCGATTGTTATTGATTTGGGAATTGATGGTTGGGATGGATCTGCACGTGTAAATGCACGGTGTGGGTTGCGGGGTAGGTGAGGAAAATTTTTGTGACTGACCAGTTAGAAGAAAGAGAGACAGAAAGAGAAAGATTGAAGGAGGGGGTTTTAAAAGGCTGTGGATTAATGTTATTGAAGAGAGTGAAAACGGATTTTGTGGCGTTATGCCATAAGCCCAATTGACTATTATATTTTCGGACCGAAATGACGAGCTCATCCTCGTTGACGGGGAAAATGTTAATTTTTAAAAAATTGTTAATAATAATAAAATTTTATAATTTTATAATTTTAATAATTTTTTATTTATAAATTTTTTAAATTAATAAAATTCATATGAATCTAATTATAACTTTTATATTTATTTTATTTTTAAATAATTTATGCTCCATGATGTTGCAAGGAGTGATCGCGCACTTTTATTTAATGTTTTGAAAAAATATGTTTGGGAGTGAACGTGGATTCAAATCATCAAAACCAATTTTTGGAAAAGATAAAAAGGTTTGGGCGAAACAATTTAACATTGAGGTGGTCTTAAAATAAATAAAAATAAGAATATTTTTACATCAATTTAAAATTTTCAAATAAATTATTTTTAAACTAAAAAATTTAAATATAGAACACTTTATTTTAGTCTACAAAAATATATTACATCAAATTTTATTTATAAAAATAATTCTTTTAATGTGTGTTTAATGAGAAAAGATTTTTTTTTCATTTTAATAAGACTCTTTCTTTTTTTATCTTTTCCTTAATTTAGATGCTTTGCGATTTTTTAGAGGGATCGTGTAAATTTTTGTTCTTGTTTTGATTCTGTTTATTAAACAAAATAATTATTAAAATTTATAATTTTTAATTAAAATATATTAAAATAGATGTTTATGATTGAAACTGGATTTAATGTAGTAAAAATTTTATTCCAAAGGATCTAGATCCGGGTCTAATCACATATAATAAAAATTACATTTTTTTAGAATTAGTCTTAAAAGTTAATAATAAATAATTAACAAAATAAATTTTAAATATTTTATAATTTTAATATATATATATATATATACACACACACACACACACTTAAACTCTATTTTTTAAGACCAAAATTAACAAAACTCATAAAAATTTATATATAGTATGTTTCTATAAAAAAATAACATTTTATTTAATTTAATAGTATTAAATGGTATATTTTTTAAAAATTACTATTTTTTATTTTTTATCATGTAATCTTAAATATACAATAAAAAATTTATTTTAAAATAAATATTTAATTTATTAATATCAATAAAAATGATTATATATTATAAGTTTAATTTTTAATTTTAAAAACATCTAAATCATTAAATATCAAATTTACATCTATGAATTAGATGGATAAATATATTCACTTAATAGATAATTATAACATAAATATTATTATAAATAAAGGTATAAAAATTAATAATTAATACATTTAATTTTTTAATTTTATCTTGTAATTAAAATAAAAATATTTATAATTATTTCTTATAATAATTTTTCTAATGTATGTCTAAGAATATATATATATATATGTAAAAGTTAAAAAGACAATTTTTTATTAAATTTTTTTATCATTTTAAGATTATAAAAATTTGAGTATAATTTTTATAATAATTTAAATCATTTAATACAATATATTTACATGCATTCTTAAACACATTAAAAACTTTTTCATACAAATAAAATAAAATAAAATATAGTCTATCACACTATTTTTTTAGTTGCAAAAATATATGTAAAATTAAATTTTAAAAATTCAAATAATGAATATATTTACTTATATAATAATGGATAGATAATTTAGAATTCAATAATATAAATTTTATCTCGCAATAAAAAAAATTCAGAAGAAAATAATTATTAATATATCTGAAAATAAATATTTATTTATCATAATTTGATAAAAATTATTAATAATAATTTTTTATAAATAAAAATGTAAAAAGTAAATTTCTTGTAAGGTGCATAATAAAATTTCAAAATTTCAAAACTATATGAAAGGTTATAAAAGTAATTGAGGTTTAAAATGATAAACGGAGCAGGTAACCCTCCGTGGCAGAAATAATAAAATACATTGAAACTCCACAGTGTGAACGCTTTCCACTTTCAGAAGATTCCATTTTGGGCAACATTAATGTCACCGATGAGGCATGGCCGCTTCCACACTTCTCTCGCGTAATTTCATTGCCTCTCTGTTGTCCTCGCTGGCTGTGTCTATTATAAAACTCTAATATGTTTGCTATCATTGAGGTAACCAGGTGACGTTGAAATTATTATTTTTTATTTTATTTGCATCTTTTATATTCATATCAACATATTATAATAGCGATGTCAAATTTAATCTTTTAGTTTTAGTGTTAAATATTTTTGTGTGAAGTTATAATAAACGATATTAATATTATATATTTTTTCACATTCTTAGCATTAAACTTCAATTGCCAGTCAAGTATCATCTTGATTTTGAAAGCTTTCAAAAACTGGCACGTAATATCTTACTAAATTATGTATCCACCGTTTATTACCAAAAAAAAAAAAGGGTGAAATTATTTACTCTCATTTTTTTTAAATGTCTATTACTGCATTACAGCTCTCATACATCTACTATTACTCTTCATTTTTTTTATAAAAGTATTTTTGTTATTAATTAATTAACAAAAACCAAATTTTCAAATAAACCTATTTTTGAACAATAATACACTTCATTTTTTGTTATATTATGTATTTATTACTTTATTATTCTACAATAATTTTATTTTAACTCAAACAAGATTATCTGTAGTGAAGAATACATGTGGTATAAAAAATTATATTATACATTTATTATTAACATTTTACTTTAATGGTAAAAATAAATGGTAATACAATTTAAAAAACTTATGTTAAGTAAATACCAAACACAATCTTATGGACGTAATTTTTTTTAAGAGATCCATTAAATCCAGTCCAATAACAACATCTTCAACAGTAGCCTTATCCAATAAGAAAACCCGAAATACGAATCAAAGGTTTCAATTAGGCACCGAATTGGATTGCACACCTCTAAGATATATGACCCAAAACATGTGAATTTGTAATAATTGAAGACAAAATAATAAATGGGAAAATTAACCAAACTTTCGGAAAAAAAAAAAAGAGAAACAATGCTTATAGATCATATGATAAAACATGAATGCTTGTCATCCATTGAATATCACATCAAACTAACATGCCAGCACATGCAATTTGCTACCTGCATAGCCTATGAATTTTAAGGGAATAATAATTTCACATAGTTCTAGCTACAAAATAAGAAGTGATATAGCCGGTGGTCACAAATTCATATTCAACTTTATTTCAAGCATAGTAAAGAAGACTTAATGGTTTAAATAATACTTTTTTAAAAAATAATTATTAAAATAAAATAAAAAAATTATTTTTTGTTTAGAATAAAATTTTGTCACATAAACATGTATTTTGTATTTAAATTAGATAATTTTTTTTATTTTTAATTTAATCATTTTATCTAAAAAAAGGATGAAATACATCAAAACTCATAATGAATTTTGTATAAAATAGAGATAAAATTATAGAAATTCGACACATGTTTAAAACTCGTTAAATTCATCGTAATTTAAGATGAAACTTCGACACATGTTTAAAACTTGTTAAATTTATCGTAATTTAAGATGAAACCATAAGATCTTGACACATGTTAATATCTTAATTTTTTTTGTTTTTATACGAGACAAAAGTGGTGTTACTCCTAGATAACAAGCTATAATTTGTGAATTCAAATCGAAGTGAAGAAGAAAGGGTTCCTAAACTTTTGAAGACTTGAAAAAAAATTTAAGGTTAGTTATAAATTTTAGATATTTTTGAGTATTTTTATTATTGAAAAATTATTAAAATTGATTTTTTTAATTATTTAAATAAATAGAGGTAGTTAAAATTGATGAATATTTAGTAAGTGCTTGCTATGGTGGTTTCACATTTGAGAAGGTATCAGATATCCCTTGTACGTGGCTTAACTTTATTGGTTTAATTAAATTATAATTTATTTTTTATTATAAAAAAAGTCCTTTAATGTTTTTCTTATTATAGATATTTTTTTAAAGAAATAACAAAGAACTCTGAGCTTCTATATGTTCTTCTCTTCCACTTAAGCTTTTGACTAAGTTTTTTTTTTAATATTAATTTTCTAGTTAAATTCTTAAAGACGTTGAAATATAACTTAATTTTGTTGTTGCTGGGTTTGGATTCTAAGTTTAAAGATTCAAAAACTAAAAATGGAGAATACAACAATGCCTTCAATGGTTTTTGCTTCTGTGACCCCTGTGGTATGGTAGGCTCCGTTCATATCCTGGGAAAACCACTGAGAATCTATCTTTAGTAGGTTGTCTATTTGCCTTTCGGCCCTTGAGATAGGAGTTCCTAGCCCCATTTAGCAGTAAACTGTTTGATCTTCTTTCTTCTACAGGCAGATCTTAATAGATAGAAAAGGAAGAACCCAGGTTAATGAATAACGGTCCCATTTTGAATCAAAGTAGCACTGAACTCATACAAAGAACAAAGAAAAAGTGCTTGCTGCTGGTGAAGATGAGGACTTTTCATTCCTAATGAAATCAAATAAACAAGAAGTGAACCTAGCTTATTCAATATCACTGGAGACCTTAATCCTTGCAACAGGTAATTATTAATCAAAGCTTCAAAATTTTTCATAGTTTTAAAGATGAGAAATTTACGAAGGAGGAGCAATATGAGTGGTTGAAGGATTATTTCTATTTTCACCACCTCATTCAACCCTATCTCATGCCTCATTCTTTCTATGTGCATTATATGTTGAAACTAGAGTGCATCATAGATGTTGATTCCTTATGTTGGTGAGCTCCATTCACCTTAGTTAGTCTGACTAGATATGATACCTTTATGTACTCATAATAT